TGCAGTCCGAGTTGTAGTCCCCTGCGATCAGGTAAGGTAAGGTCAGGTAAACTTCTCCACACACACAAGGTAGTGGGGCAAGCCTGCGATCATGTTGAAATCGGCGCCAAAGCGGCCCTCCATCCATGACAGCACGTTTCCAAAGTTGCGGATCTCCTCCTCTGCACGGTCAGGGTTGGTGTGCGTCAGCGCGATGGCGAACGTGGCGTCGCAGGACACGCCAGCGGCGCAGTCAGCCCCCGCGCCGCTCGGCACCCTGAGCAGAAAGGCGTATGGGATGCGATTGTGCGTCTCGCCACTAACGTAGGTACGCGCGTAGTAGCCGTTGGTGTCTGGATACTCGTCGCCCTCGACGAAGGACGCCTTGGCGCGGTCGTAAAAGAGCGTGTACTGCTCATCGTTGGACTCGTCGGTGTGCTGCGGCCCTTGCCACGGGGACACGATCACGTTGAGATCTCGGCCGCTGCTTGACCTTGCGAGGTCGAGGAGATTGCATACCACATCTCCCGTGTTGGGACCACACACACCGCCGCAGCCCGTCCCGTCTGGCTGGCACGTCTCCGCGTCGGGCGGCTTTTGCGAGAGCTCCTCCATGCCCAGAATATCATACCGGCCGATGATTTCCGCCGTGACCTCCCTCGTGACGGGACGCTGGTCTTTGGTCCTCCCGTAGTTTTGGATGTTGAACGCGGCAAAGGATAGGCCGACCCCCTCGCTGGGGCTGCAGTCGTACAGCGACATGCGATGGCGGATGCGGAGGTATGCGCTCCGACAACCGCGCTTAGCCCTCTTTTTGGTATAACACACAACCGCGCTTATGAGCAGTTTAGTTCTCTCTTTTCTCCCAGTAAGCTAAAAGTACGGGAAGAGTTTTATGTAAATATAACGTGTGGGCCCTCAGCGGAGCTGGGAAGAGGACCGCCGCAAGCGGCGTGGCGTGGAGCGGTTGTGCATCCCTCCGGGGCGGTCTCAGCCCTACCTGGCCGTTCTATATTATAGAATGGCATCCTATAATGTAGAATGGCGTCTCGCGCGCGCTCACCCGGCCGCCTCGCAGCCCCAGCGGCCGGGGGGCGCTTGCCGGGGTTGAGGCTGGTCACACACAGGCGCCACTTTAACGCGGCGAGCCAGAGGAGTCACACAGGAGAGCCCCCAACACGCCACATTTTCAGCAGCAGACGGGCCGCGGTGAGGGCCCATTCTACATCGAAGAATGGGGTCCGCCGCCGTCCCCCACGGCCTCCTCACGCCCCCAGCGGCAGCGTGCCGCTCGGCCAGACTGGTGGGGTTCGCGACAAGCGCCAGTTCAACACAGAGAAGCCCAACAGTCCGCAAATGAGAGTCCTCCCCCCCGCCCCGGCAAACCAGTCAGAGCAGACGCCGGGGGCCGCGTATGGCGAAAGCAAACGCACGACGGCCGCCGGCAGCCGTTGAGCCGCTGCCGCCGTTCGAGCCTTGGATGTCCGTCCGTCGCCGCCTGTGGCGAGGGCAGTGGAAGTGTGAGATTTGTGCTCGCAAGTGGTGGGCGGGCGAAAGGGTCGGGCGGCAGAAGTGAGCAGACAGCGCGAATGCGGTCTACCTATGTCACATCTACTCCTCGTGTCACCTAGTCATGGTCCTCGCTTCCCTGCCCGGTCTCCGAGTCCTGCGCCTCGCCTGAGTCCTCGTCCAAGTTCGAGTAGTCCTCTCCTCGTCTTCGTCCTCGTCTTCGTCCTCTTCGTC